GGCGTCATGGAGGCGGGACGGAATGCAGGAACTCCTGGCCACCTTGAAACCTTAAATCAAAACACACCCCGAACTCTTCTTTAAACCCGACAGCAGGTGCGCGAGCTCACAAAGAACGCCTGCCTGCAGCACTGGGCATGATCCAGAAGGGATCGAATTTACAACAGGCTGGAGAGATCAGACAGGAACTTGGGAGGCAGCGCAGGGGTGGGGGGCCACCATCTGGAACACAGGGGGACGCAGCACACCACCAGGAGTGTGCCCCGTGTCAGTGGATTGCGCATGGAGAGACTGAGGGGAGTATGAACGCTCTGGGGGGAAAGGAGTTTGATAAGATATGTTAGTTGGCTTCCATATGGTTCCAATTGACTTTAAAAAAAGAACTGGGTATCCCCCCCAGTTCAGCCCATCTCTGTCCTCACCTGTGCCGGCCAGGAGGAAGCATCACCTCCGAGTCACAGACAGACACCAGGGAGAAGCAGCAGCAGAGATGAGAGAAGGGCCCGCCATCCCTCCTCTGAGCCCTCGCTGGGTACCAGGAAGTGGCCAAACCCTAGTTTAAGCCTCACAGGGATTGTACAAGGCAGTGCTGCGCCGGATCTCAGCAGAGGGCACTGAGCGCCTGCAGCTCCCTCCTGGGACAGCACCCAGCCCGGCACTGCGTATTCCACGAGCCATGGGTCAGCAGTGAGAACGACAGAGACCGGGTCCATGCGTGGACTAGCCTGCGCTCTGCCGCAGTGAAACCACTACTGCTGACTGGTGGCAGGAGAGCGGTGTCAGCACCCCGTGAGTTCCAGGTCACAGGGTGTCCGGTATTTGTGATGATGTTTGCTCCTCACAAGCTCTTCTATAAATAAGTCCTTCCACTGGCAACAGTCTGATCCTTTCAGCAGAAGCCGTGCCGCCCTCACCACGATTTCAGAGCATCTCCTCCTTGCTCATCCTCGTTCTTCTCAGTGCTCAAACAGTCTTCCAGACCGTGTCCCCATTGCTGACCAGGGGACTGTGATTGCCTGGTGTCACCCAGTTCGTCAAGTGGCAGCATGGGATTCCATACCAGTATGTGCCCAAGGAGGAGCCCCGGTAGCATGGTGGTTACTCATTAGATGCTGATCTTAAGGTCAGCAGTTCAAAACCACCAGCTGCTCCAGGGGAAAAAGAGGGCTTTTCTACTCCTGAAAAGAGTTAGTCTCGGAAACTCACAGGGGCAGTTTTACTCTGCCCTACGTGGGGTCGCTATGAGTCAGCATCCACTCGGTGGCAGAGTTGCTTCTGTGCCCAAGCGTCCTCAGCCTGTGAAAACTAGAGACTCTGGGCTGAGAACTGGAGCCAGCATCGCACTCTGGGAGTTTTCCAGACTGGCCTCACCTTCTGGGTGCAGTGCCACAGGGCACCTACAGGGAGGACAGCCTTGGCTACTGCACTCTATCAGCCGGGGAGTGGGCTAAAGCCCCATGGTGCGAGAGGGGCCACCCCGAGGCTTACCTTCTGGTCTTCCTCTTTGGTCCACGGCCCCTTCACCAGGTCTGGGTTCAAAACCCTCAGCCACCGGTACTGGCATTGCTGGTCAGTTCGGTTCTGCGACGAGAAAAGGGAGACGGTCACTATTTCTGGGGTCCTCAGGCCTGGGCCCTGTTTGCTACCAAAGAGGGGCTGGACTGAAGTCCCATGCTGCCGACACTGAGCATGCAGCTAGAGGGCTGCAGAGTGGCATGGACCACCACATGCTGCCCAGTGTGGACCAGCCTCAAGACTGCCAGGCGCACGGAGCTGCTGTGGGGAGATATGTACTTCCGTTGGGGCACCCCAGATTCTGGTTGGAGAAGAAAGGTCTGAGGAAGGCTGTGAGTCTGGTTTGGGGGCGGCAGTGGGGAACAAGCCACACTCAGTCAGGAACTCCCCACTCCCTTTCCTTCTCTGCGGCAGAAATGCTGTACCAGGCCCAGGGTCTGCTCACCCAGGGCCCAGAACCCTGGCCCCGAGAGGTGGGGGGCCCAAAGGGACAGTACTCACAGGAAAGTGGCTGGCCAGGAACTTCCAGTCCTGCTGTCCGAACTGCCTCACCAGGGCCCTGAGCTGCTCATCCTGCCAACACCAGGAAGAAAGAGGGCCAGGTTCACCGGGTGCAGAAGGGCACGGGCGTCAAACCTTTCTCTCTGACACACCTTCCGTCAGGAAGTGAGCATCAGGGGGGCTGTGCCAGGCACCACAGGCAGGGCCATGGCCACAGGGCTGCCTGACAGCCTAGGGCTCTATGTCTAAGCCAAGGCTCATGCACAGAGGAAAGCCATCGGGCCCGGAATCAGGGGACCAGGGAGCCTCAGAATGCCCCCTGGTGGAGGTGCCGGCTGAATGAAGAGTCAAGGTGAGGAGGGTGTGGTTGGGACATGGGCAGCCAGGCAGAAAGGAGCCCAAACTGAGGCTGGGGACACAACAAGGGCCCGGCTACGAGTGGGGGACCAATTCTGGGCTCGCCGCCCCGCCTTATACACTGTACATGGGATAAAGTTCACTTTGATTGCTGGCGGGTGGGAATCGGGTGGTCGGGGCCACCGCAGACCCCCGGACCGGGGAGGAGTGACTCAGCATTGGATGGGAAGCGTCTGATTCAGAAGGGAAACCGGTATCTGCTCCAAAACGCTGCTCACACCGCCAGGAATTCTCCAAACCACTGAGTGGAAAAGCCAGGCAGACAGACACGTCCCGGGGAGGATTCTGGGAAAGGCAAATGCTGAGGAGAGACTGCCCGAGGCCCAGGGAGAAAGGTGCGAGACAGCGAAGCGGGGCTGAGCATCTTCTGCAAATGGCAGGTTCTGGTCGCTTGTCCTTTGTGTTCTTGACGTTGGGGCCAACGAGTGCACTTCAGCCCCTGGAGACGCCTGTGACGGAGGGCTGTCCACGGGGCGTTCTCAGCGGTCATCTTTATAGGGCAGATCAGCAGGTCTCTCTCTCATGGAGCTGCTGGGTAGGTTTGATCACCCGCCTTTTGGTTGGCAGCCGAGCACTAACCACGGCACCCAGGCTGATTCACAGATGGTACTTTCAACGGCTGTGACCCACACCCAGTGCTGTCAAGTCGATGCTGACTCAACAGCGCCCCTGGAAGGCAAGGTAGAACTTCCCTGGGTGGTCACTTCCGAGACTGTAACTCTTTCCAGGAGTGGAAAGCCTCGACTTTCTCCCTCGGAGTGGCTGGTGGTTTGGAACTGCTGACCTTGCAGTTAGCAGCCCAACAGGTGACCTACTACGCTACCAAGGCTCCCTAAATGGCTGTACTTGTCTGTAAGTTATATCCCAATTAAAGTGATTTCATTTTAAAAGTGTGTATTTATATTGACATAAATGTATAGTACATGAATCATAACAATCTGTATTTTCAGTCACACATGTGCTCTTAAACAGAAAAAGAGGCCATCATGTGGCCACCACAGGAATCCAGGTTCTCAGTTGCAGCTTGGTCCCAGGCCCGAGCAGGCTGGACAAAACTCCCAAACCCTCAGCGCCCAGTGTCGGTCCTGACTCATACCAACTCTACAGGGCAGGGCAGAACTGCCCTACATCCTCAGTGTTTGTCTCTCTTATTTTTATTTACATAGAAAGGAAGGATAAATTTACGTGACAGGGCACAATAAAAACAATAAGCTCTTAAATATAATAATCATGGTAACCACTAAGAAAAGATCTAAAGAACCTGCAAAAAGGAAAGGAGAAAGGGACCAAAAAGGCTTACTATCATAAACAAAGCAAGCAGCACACTTGTCTTAAAACAAGCAGCCATCTAAGTGAGGCCTCACATCAGCCTGTGTGAGCCAACCACTGTAAATGATAATACCCAAGATCAGAAGAGGGAATTGTATTAGAGCTTCGATTCTGACCATCCAGTTTGTAAAAAGTTATGGTGGGCGGTGAAAGTCTAACACCCATTCGCAGAGTCCCCACTTGGATTGAGCCTCCATCGAATCCCCTGAGAACGCTGACTATGCAGTCTTGCCCTCAGACAGAGTGTATTGGGAAACGGATTACTGTGGCTATAGTTAGGCTAAAATCCAACATAGTATCATGTTTTCCCTTTTGGCCACTTTTAGTTTGTTCTAGTTTCCATTATCTTCTGATTTCATTTGGAGTGAGGTTTTTCTGTGATTTATTTTGTTGTTAAGAGTTGTGTGTGGTTTTTTTTCATTATATATATATATATATATACATACATATATAAAATAGCCAGGATAGATAATTCTATAGAGACAGTAACTATAGAGTTATGGCAGGGGAGGGTGGAGAGTAATGGGCACAATGGGATACAAGAATGAAGAAAATGTTCTAAAATTGAGCGTGGTTATGACTGCATAACTCTTTTTAATATAAACCATTAAATTCGATAATACATGAATTATGTCAACAAGTTTGTTTTTGTTTTTTTAAAGTAAGCGGTATTAAAGAACAAAAGCAAAGAAGGCTTAGGATCCACACAAAAAAACAAACAAAAAAACGCAGAAGTAAAATCACTTATTAAGTTGCCGAGAGTAAATGTAAATGGACTACATGCGACAATCAAAAGGAAGAGTGGAAAGATGAATAAAAAAATCATGATCCAACTACACTTGACAAGAGACACACCCTGGACTCACAAACACAAAGAAGTTGAAAGTGAAAGGGTGGAAACAATGTCCCATGAGCACAGTAACCGAGAGAGCAAGGGTGGCAGATTTGCTATCAGATAAGCTACACGTAAAGACAGGATCTCTCCGAAGATGGACAATATACAACGATAAAAGTATTAACCCAGAAAATTTAGAATGGATGCGCAAAAGACAGCCACCGCTGATAAAATTCAAAGGAGAAACACAATGGGACTTCAAAAAGCTTGTGGAATTTCCATTCTCTTTTCACTCCATCTCGCCACAAATATTTGGAAGCCCCCTTGTAGATAGCACTATAATAATCATTGACGACTTCAATCCATCACTTTCAGTATTGGACAGGACACCTTGAAAGAGTATCAACAGGAATTGAAGGACACAGACATTTCATAGACATACCCTATACAGTGAACCCTCGCCACTTCATGCTTCGACTTCCGCGGCTTCACTCTATCGCGGTTTTTGTGTAACAGCACCCACTGCCTACACCCGCTCCTTCAGAGGAAAAA